TCCTCCTCCTCCTCCTCCTCCTCCTAATCCTCCTCCTCCTCCTCCTCCTCTTCCTCCCCATCCTCCTCAGCCTCGTCTCATCATCGTCATCATCATTATCATCATCAGCAGCAGCATCATCAGAAGCAACAGCAGCAACATCATCACCACCATGGGCAGTATAATCAGAAGCATCATCATCATCATCAGCAGCATCATCATCAGCATCAGCATCAGCATCGTCATCGTCATCACCATCAGCATCATCATCATCATCATCAGCATCATCATCGTCCTAAACCTCATCAGCATCATCACCACCACCACCACCATCAACATCTTCGTCATCATCATAAACAGCACCATCAGCATCAGCATCGGCATGGTCAGCATCATCATCTGCATCAGCATCAGCATCAGCATCATCAGCATCAGCAGCAGCAGTATCATCGTGATCATCATCACAACCGCCATCATCATCATCACAACCAACCTCATCATCATCATCAGCAGCATGATCACCATCATCATCACCATCGTCACCACCGTCACCAGCATCATCATCAGCATCGTCACCATCGCCATCGTCAGTGCGATCACCATCATCATCGTCATCAGCACCATATAGGTTAAACAATCACCATCACCATCACCGTCACCATCACCGTGATCATCATCCACAACCGCAAAGCAGCAACCACAACAACCATGACAATAAGAGCCACAGCAACAACAGCAACAACAACAAGGATAGCGACCTTCCTTGGCCCCAGGGGCTCGGGGGCCGACTGGAGCTCTCCCTCATAGAGGGACAGGAACTCTCCCGGGCCCTCGGAGGCATGCGGGCCAGCGAAGAGAGAGGATCCTGTACAGGCCTTGCACGGCTTATATGGGCAATTCTGGTTGAAATCCGATTTCTATTGTCATCTCATGAAAATCGAATCAGAACTGATCGCATCCCATATCCAACTGATTCCAAGCAGATTTCTGGTGGAAATGCTTAGGATCTACTGCAGGAATGGGAAGATCCCAGATCCAGCTGGTTCTAAGAATCTATTCCAATTGAATATACTTCGATTCTAAATTACATTGGCCAGAACCCTGATCCAGCGGGCATTAGCTATATTCCTAACGAATATGTTATCTAAGTTATATTAACCAGATCTTTGATCCAGATGATGTTAAATAGATTCCGATGTCTAAAATTGACCAGATCCCACTTCCAGCTGATTCTGATAGATGTATAACGGGATCCGATTAAACTGTAATAGAATTAGCCAAATCCCAGATCCACCTGATTATGATTAGATTCCTATCGGGATAAGATTAGGATGTACTTTAAATGGGCCAGATCCCAGATCCAGCAAATTCGAATGAGATCTCTCCTCATGGGATCTGACTAGAACATAATGACATTGGCCAAATCCCAGATCCAGTCGACTCGGGTTATATTCATACTGGGACATGACTGACATGTTATGATTGGCCAAAAACCTAGACCCAACTGGTTCTAATCAGATTCTTCACGGCACCAAATATAAACCGCATTGAATTTAGACAGACCCCAGATCCAGTTATATATCAATATATTCTTTTTGGAATATGATTACAATTGACCAACTCCCGAATCCAGCTGATTTCAATCAAGTCCGATTGGGACCTGATTAACATGTAATGAGAGCTGATCAGATCCCAGGGCCAGCCGAATTCAATTGGATCACGATTGGAATCTCAATAAAAATCTACTAAGAACTAGGCAGATCCCAAATCCATCCGATTCTAATGAGATTCCGATTGAATCAAATTCAAAAAATGCGCACATCCCAGATCCACCATCTTCGAATTAGATGCTGAACGAATCTAACGGAAATAAAATTACCCTGGCGACGTACCCTACCCCTGCGCAAACGCCAGGCGCAAATAGTTTAGGACATGTTATAAGGTGGCGATGACGGAGCGAGGGTTACATATGTCTGCAGACGAAATTCGGGAGACTCGCAGGACACTGGCTACAGGACAAGGACTAGATAAAGCTGATTAGTTACAATCCCTGAGCACCCCTAGCCACTGCGAAAGCGGGGATCTCATATCGCCGGTGACGATGACAACGGTGACGACGACGATGACTACGACGATGATGACGACGACGGTGACGACGACTCAACGACGACGACGGCGACGGCGACGACGTCGGCGACCCGACGGTGACGAGAATGACGACGCCGACGACGATGACGACGCCGACGGCGACAACGACGACGACGATGACGACGACGACGGCGGCGACGACGCCGACGACGTCCCAGGCAAGCGGCGACCGTCCTGCTCCTCATTCGCCTCCTTCTCCTCCTCCTCCTCCTCCTCCGACTCCGACTCCGCCGCCTCCTCCTGACCCGCAGCCCCTCCGGCCAAAGGATACGGAGGTCTATTGTGGATCCGCGTAGCGCGTCACTGTGCTGAGCCCCCCAGCAGGCCTCGAAAGTGGCGACAATTTCACAGATCGCAGCCCCCCAGGGATGGCGAGGTCTAATTTGGGTCTGCGTGTGGCCTCACTGCGCTGGGCCCCCCAGCAGGCCTCGAAAGTGGCGACAGTTTCACAGATCGCAGCCCCCCCAGGGATGGCGAGGTCTAATTTGGGTCCGCGCGTGGCGTCACTGTGCTGGCCCCCCCAGCAGGCCTCGAAAGTGGCGACAGTTTCACAGATCGCAGCCCCCCAGGGATGGCGAGGTCTAATTTGAATCCGCGCGTGGCGTCTCTGTGCTGGGCCCCCCAGCAGGCCTCGAAAGTGGCGACAGTTTCACAGATCGCAGCCCCCCAGGGATGGCGAGGTCTAATTTGGGTCTGCGTGTGGCCTTCTGTGCTGGGCCCCCCAGCAGGCCTCGAAAGTGGCGACAGTTTCACAGATCGCAGCCCCCCAGGGATGGCGAGGTCCGATTTCAATCCGCCGTGGACCCACTGTGCTGGGCCCCCCGGCAGGCCTCGAAAGTGGCGACAGTTTCACAGATCGCAGCCCCCCAGGGATGGCGAGGTCCAATTTGGGTCCGCGCGTGGCGTCACTGTGCTGGGCCCCCCAGCAGGCCTCGAAAGTGGCGACAGTTTCACAGATCGCAGCCCCCCAGGGATGGCGAGGTCCATTTGAGTCTGCGGTGGGTAACTGTGCTGGGCCCCCCCAGCAGGCCTCGAAAGTGGCGACAGTTTCACAGATCGCAGCCCCCCAGGGATGGCGAGGTCTAATTTGGCTCCGCCCGTGGCGTCACTGTGCTGGGCCCCCCAGCAGGCCTCGAAAGTGGCGACAGTTTCACAGATCGCAGCCCCCCAGGGATGGCGAGGTCTAATTTGGGTCCGCGCGTGGCGTCACTGTGCTGGGCCCCCCAGCAGGCCTCGAAAGTAGCGACAGTTTCACAGATCGCAGCCCCCCAGGGATGGCGAGGTCTAATTTGGGTCCGCGCGTGGCGTCACTGTGCTGGGTCCCCCAGCAGGCCTCGAAAGTAGCGACAGTTTTACAGATCGCAGCCTCCCACAGGCAAGACAGGAGGAGGCAGGCAGGAGGCAGGAGGGAGGCAGGAGGAGACGCGCGAGCAATGCTCTATTCATTACCCTGGCGACGTACCCAACCCCTGCGCAATGCGGGGCATGAGTAGCTTGGGAGACGTTATACTGAGGTGATGACGTGACATGGGCGCATCTACTTCTACAAGCGGCATTCGTGAGGCTCGCAGCCCCCCAGGGATTGCGATGTCCCGCTCAGATCTGCCTGGTGCCTCGCTCCGCTGGACCCACCAGCAGCCCTCGAAAGTGGCGGCAATTTCGCAGATCGCAGCCCCCCAGGGACGGCGAGGTCCCGCTCAGGTCCGCGCGGTGCCTCACTCCGCAGGACCCACCAGCAGCCTTCGAAAATGGCGACGGTTTCGAAGATCGCAGCCCCCCAGGGACGGCGAGGTCCCGCTCAGGCCCGCGCGGTGCCTCATTCCGCAGGAACCACCAGCAGCCCTCGAAAATGGCGACATTTCGCAGATCGCAGCCCCCCAGGGACGGCGAGGTCCCGCTCAGGTCCGCGCGGTGCCTCATTCCGCAGGACCCACCAGCAGCCCTCGAAAATGGCGACAACTTCGCAGATCGCAGCCCCCCCAGGGACGGCAAGGTCCCGCTCAGGTCCGCGCGGTGCCTCACTCCGCAGGACCCACCAGCAGCCCTCGAAAGTGGCGACGGCTTCGCAGATCGCAGCCCCCCAGGGACGGCGAGGTCCCGCTCAGGTCCGCGCGGTGCCTCATCCCGCAGGACCCACCAGCAGCCTTCGAAAGTGGCGACGGTTTCGCAGATCGCAGCCCCCCAGGGACGGCGAGGTCCCGGCCCACGCGATGCCTCATTCCGCAGGAACCACCAGCAGCCCTCGAAAGTGGCGACATTTCGCAGATCGCAGCCCCCCAGGGACGGCGAGGTCCCGCTCAGATCCGCGCGGTGCCTCGCTCTGCAGGACCCACCAGCAAAGTGGCAACAGTTTCGCATATCGCAGCCCCCCAGGGACGGCGAGGTCCCGCTCAGGTCCGCGCGGCGCCTCACTCCGCAGGACCCACCAGCAGCCCTCGAAAGTGGCGACGGTTTCGCAGATCGCAGAACCCAGGAACGGCGAGGTCCCGCTCAGGTCCGCGCGGTGCCTCACCCCGCAAAACCCACCAGCAGCCTTCGAAAGTGGCGACAATTTCGCAAATCGCAACCCCTGCAGGGACGGCGAGGTCCCGTTCAGGTCCGCGCGGTGCCCCATCCCGCAGGACCCACCAGCAGCCTTCGAAAGTGGCAACAGTTTCGCGGATCGCAGCCCCCCAGGGACGGCGAGGTCCCGTTCAGATCCGCGCGGTGCCTTACCCCGCCGGACCCACCAGCAGCCTTCGAAAGTGGCCACAGTTTCGCAGATCGCAGCCCTCCAGGGATGGCGATGTCCCGCTCAGGTCCGCCTCCCAGAAGCCCATGCGCGCCAGGTGAGCCAAGCGCGCCAGGCGCGCCAGGTGCGCCAGGTGCGCCAGGTGCACCAGGTGCGCCAGGTGCGCCAGGTACGGCAACTGCGCCACGTGCGCCAGGTGCGCCAGGCGCGCCAGGCGCGCCAGGTGCGCCAAATTAGCCAGGCGCCAGGTGCGCCAGGTGCGCGCCTGGTGTGCGCCAGGTGGGCGCCCGGTGTGCCAGGTGCGCCAGGTGCGCCCAGCGCGCCAGGTGTGCCAGGTGCGCCAGCTGCGCCAGGTACGCCAGGTGCGCCAGGCGCGCCAGGCGCGCCAAATGCGCCAGGTGCGACAGTGGCGCCAGGCGCGCCAAGTGCGCCAGGTGCGCCAGGTGCGCCAGGCGCGCCAGGCGCGCCAGGTGCGCCAGGTGCGCCAGGCGCGCCAAATGAGCCAGGTGCGCCGGGTGTGCGCCAGGTGTGCGCCAGGTGCGCCAGGTGCGCCAGTTGCACCAGGTGCGCCAGGTGCGCCAGGTGTGCCAGGTGCGCCAGGTGCGCCAAATGCGCAAGCTGCGCCAGGTGCGCGGGGTGTGCGCCAGGCAGGCGCGCCAGTTGCGCCATGCGCGCCAGGCGCGCCAGGTGCGCCAGGTGCGCCAGGTGGGCCAGGTGCGTCAGGTGCGCCCACCGCGCCAGGGGCACCAGGTGCGCGCCAGGTGCTCCCAGCGCGCCAGGTGCGCCAGGTGCGCCCAGCGCGTCAGGTGCGCGCCAGGTGCGCGCCAGGTGCGCGCCAGGCGCGCGCCAGGTGTGCCAGTTGCGCCAGGTGTGCGCCACGTGTGCGCCAGCTGCGCCAGGTGTGCCAGGTGCGCCAGTTGCGCCAGGCGCGCCAAGTGAGCCAGGTGCGCCATGTGCGCCAGGTGCGACAGGTGCGCCAGGTGCGCCAGGTGCGCCAGGTGCGACAGGCGCGACAGGTGCGCCAGGTCTGCGCTGGATGTGGCAGGTGCGCCAGGTGCGCCCAGCGCGCCAGGTGCGCCAGGTGCGGCAG